CGCGGCCACCGCGTAGGCCGCGATGAGGCCCGCGCACGACGGCTCGGTCACCTGCCCGCCAGCGCCTGCGCAGACGCAGGAGGGGATGGCAGGGCAAGCCAACTGAGGCGCGCAGGCGCCACAGCTCGGGGCCGCCGCGCGCGCGACCACGGAGGCTCCGATGGCCTGCGCCCCGTACTGCAGGACCCCTGACAGGGAGGCGGCGAGGTCCTGCATCGAAACGCCTCTTGCACTTTGAGCCACAATGCCGATGGCGTACCATCGGCATGGCAACTCCCTGACGAGTCAATGCGGCCCCTCTCGCATTTCCCCTACGCAGATTGTTGTTAAAACCACGCAGAAATATATATATATATATTATATATATATATATATATATATATATATATATTATATGTGTGGTAGAGGTCGCAGCCCCGAGGGGCCCGGGCCCAGTCCCCCGTTATCGTATGTATAAGGGGGCCAGCGGACCCCGATATGTATCAAGGTACGAAACGCACTTGTTTAATTGGAAATGGGACTTTGCCCTGCTTTCATCGAGCGGAAATCCGCTGGCCCACCTCAGCCGAAGCACCAGGGACAGATTACCATCCTAAAAGAAAACCCTGGGCCCCAGCCCTGTCCAGGAAAAAACAGAAGGAGGAGGACGAGGAGGAGGGCGAGGAGGAGGAGGAGGAGGAGGAGGAGGGGGAGGACGAGGGGGAAGGGGGAGAAAGCGAAAACGAGACGAGGAGCGCGGAAGCGAGGAGGAGCGAGGAAGAGGGAAGCAGGGAGGAGGGAGGGAGGGAGGGAATTAGGAGCGAGGAAGCTAAGGGGCGCGTCGGTTGCCGAGGACTTCGAGCCAGCCTACGCGCTCGGCCGGAGCCAGAGCGAATGCTCTCCTCTTCAGGACTGGCACGCGACCTATTGCCACGCCAGCGAATTCGCGTGCAGCCCATCATCGTCATATTCCTCCTCATCCTCGTCCCTCTCAAGAACACCTCCTCCTCCTCCTTTTCTTCCTCCTTTTCTTCCTCCTCCTCCTCCTCCTCCTCCTCCTCCTCCTCCTCCTCCTCCTCCTCCTCCTCCTCAACCTCCACCTCCACCTCCCTCCTCCTCCTCCTCCTCCTCCTCCTCCTCCTCCTCCTCCTCATCCTCCTCCTCCTCCTCCTCCTCCTCCTCCTCCCTCCTCCTCCTCCTCCTCCTACCTCCTCCTCCTCCTCCCTCCTCCTCCTCCTCCTCCTCCTCCCTCCTACCTCCTCCTCCTCCTCCTCCTCCTCCTCCTCCTCCTCCTCCTCCTCTTCCTCCTCCTAGCACACCAAGGTGTGATCGTCTTTAGCCTGCGGCTGGCGCAGATCGGGGGACGGGGGGTAATTCGCTGCTGTTCACGCGCTCGTTCTCTCTCAGGCCACGGTTCGCCTCATGAGTTTGCCTTCGCAGGTCGGCTCTTGGGTTGCACCTGGCCTGCCTTTGCGACTCCTTGAACCGCGTGGCAGTTGAGGATGATCAATGTGGAGCTCGTCTGCCTGCAAGTGATCACTCATACAGCTCAGAGCGGTGTCCATCGAGATCCCCGTTCGGAGGAAGACCCGCACCTGTGCAGCAGTTGCACGAAGTCTGCGAACCTCGAGGCGGCTGCAGGCGGGGGAAAGGCGAGCGAGAGCCCCGTTTTGAAAAGGCGACGCCCTCCATGCGCGCAGCGACCACGTGTGCCGAAGCGGACGGCCCGCAGCCGCGAGGAGACCTCGGGCGAGGGCCGCATCCTGGGCAGGGGCCGCCCTCCGTCCCCGCAGCTGCTGCGGGTCCTGAGAACGGGTGCGCGCGGCGCTGAAGCGAGGGCCCGCTCTTGAAAACGGCCCGCCCTCCATCTGCGTAACTGTTGACATGTTGTGTGATTTAACCGCATGTGCACGGCGCCAGCGCGCGAGTCCCATCTAAAAAGCGGCCCGCCCTTCATCCGCATAAATGTTGCAGCGGGTTGAAGCGAGTGTGCACGGCGCGAGGGGAGAGTCCCATGTTGACTAGATACCATCATCCGTCGTCGTCGTAGCTGCTGCTGCAAGCTTTGACACGAATGCGAGTGGTGTTAAGACGAGAGAGTCTTTCCTTTGAGAATCGGGGTAAGATGACAAAGAAAGTAAGATCTCATGTTCACTCTGCTCAGGGAGAGCGGAAGCGGGATGAGACATTGATAAGACAGATTTCCGTTAAGCTAAACCACTCAATCAGGAATAGGAAGGGAGGAGGAAGGCCGAGGGCGGACGACGACGAATCGCCCGCGCGCCCCAGCGCGCTCCTTTTCTCTCCTGCCAGCCGAGGTCGGCTGGTTTGAGCAGTAACACAGCTGCAGAAACGCAGCGTCAGTACACGCGGACAGTTCGTTGCATGCAATCTAAGTTATCTTCGAATTGAGTATTATGCGGAGAGGAGCATATTTACTACCCCCGCGGCGGGCCGCGTAGAGCCCATCCAGCCACAGCACCCCCAGCCTGTACATATGCACAACCACCGGAGCCAACCCCAAAAAGCTTTTACGGCTCAACGGTGGCTGCCAGGGGGGCCAAAGGCCGAAGAGGCTCGACGTTTCCCACACTAGATATAAATAGTTTCTCTCCGCTGGACCGGCTTAGCCGACCAGTAGAGATGTCCGCGCCCAGCACGCTTAGCGCGTGGGTAAAGTATTTGGTGCGCGCATGCCGCGGACGGAGTCACGCGGGCCGCACTCAGTTGAGGTCCCCCACGGATTCGACGAACTCTCTCGCCTTGGCGGCGCCGGAGGCGGCGGGTTTGATGTCGCCGATCCTCCCGTCTGTCCGTCCATACCACGTGGCGTGCGAGAACGCCCTCTCTCTCTCTGTCGTTATTTCCAACCTGCGCCGCCTCTCTCGGCGGAAAATGATGATTATGCTCCCACTTCGACAGCCAGGTCCAGCAAGGCAAATTGTACCAATCGTCGTCATTGAGCCACGTGTTCCTGTCCCGATGGAGGTGGTATCCGACGAGGATTCCATTCACGTGGGTCGGGTAGGACTGGTTGGGGTCGAATGCGGGGCGGTATCCTGCGGCGCTGCTGGCAGCATCTGAGGCAGCGCCTGCGGCAGCGCCCGCCGCCGCGGGCAGCGCAAGGCTAGCGGCATCATCGGCGGCCGCGGCAGGGGCATCACCCATGGCTGCATCGCGCGCGCGTTGGATATCCGACCGACCCCTCGGATCGGGATCTTGTAGGTCAGCGTCTCTGGTCGGCACGGCTGAGCCGGCGACAGAACGTGGGGGGCCGATAGCCTCCTCGGACGCCTGAGCCGCTGAGATGCCAGGTCGAAGAGATGGCGTGCGAGACAAAGGTCTTGCCTTTGGTCCGGCAGGCACACGTGGCCCCACGATCTCGGCTTCGCCGTCGTGTTCAGGGTCATTGTCCCTACTGTTCATAAATTGCAATATACTTCTGGCAGCAGTTGCTGCGGCGACACCATATAGACCGCTTGCAGTGCGGAAAGGACCATCTTCCTTGTCCTGAAGATCGGTACCGGGGTCAGGATACTTATCCTGTAGCCAAGTTATGGCCTCTTGTATTACAGCACCGTGGCGACGGACGTCATTCTGCACTTTCCGGCCCATTTTGCGGGCCCATGTTTCTATAATGTCATCCGTCTCAACAGCCACGCGAATACGGCAGTCCAAGGCATATGCGTCGGTTCGTTTCTTTGACTCGATCTCGTCTGTGCTCACCATTTCGGGGCGAATGATTCGCCCCGGGTAACCAATAAAGTGGTTCCCTGATATAAAATAGCAGATTATCTTACGAATAATTGCGAAAATCCTTACGGGTCGAAGGCCCAGTACCATGTTTTGTGTTGTTACCAACCAACTGTCACCCACTATTTTCCTGATGATCGCCGCGATCACATAGTCCTCCGTTCCAGTCAGGGTAACCCTGCCGGGCGTAGTGGGGTTTGTTCCCGTGCGTTCAATTATGTAATGAGCGGCAACCTCACGAAGTTCGTTCCCGAACAATCTTATTTTCATCAGATGGTCCTCATGATGAAAGTACACGTGTCCCTCAGGTCCGTCAAATGCAAGGAGCCCATCAGTTATCGACGCGGCCTTCGGCCCGCTGATTACTTTGAGGTCCAGATCCATTTGTGTCTGTTCCCGCGTCCTCGCGGCTGAGCCGGAGGCATGTCGCAGCACTGGAACTATAATACGATGGTCCCGACACATGCCTACCCGTCTTGCAACGGAATGAGAACTGCGAGTCGGTCGCGCTCTAAAGTTGTTCTCCCAGGCGACCGGTAACCTCGCAGGAGGGTTGGCATTGTCGTCGTTGTTTCCAGTATCTTCAGGAATAACGCCAAACCATGACATGTCAAAATGCATGGCATCATATACTGTGGCAAGTGTAGGTACAAAGAGGTTTTCTCTCCTCATGTTGTTGAACCACTGTGCCCAGCCAATCCTAAGTGCAATCAAGTCGTCAGGCTCATGAGACCAATGAAATGCTTGCAGTGCTGGGCAGGATCTAGGGCGAGCGAACTGATCAAAACCAGTCGCCCACAATTTTGGCCACCATTTGTTAATAGCCGGGGTTCGCCTGTGTACATTTGTGGCCGAATATTCTAGCCACGATATAAATCTCTTGACCACAGGCCTTAAGTATTCAAAGAAAGGAGCGTGTCGCGCCGGAGGCTGAGCCTCGGCGTTCGCTGGGATCCAAGCTGGAAAGTTTCCTCGCTGACTGTTGCCGAATATTGCGCCAGCAGCTGCCATTGTGGCAAAGTTGGTTACCCATCTTGGCTCCTGCTGATTGTTGTTGGCGACTTTGTTCGCAACGTTAGCAGAAGCTCTCGCTTGTCTCCTTATACGCGCCTCCATATACACAAGACGATCCCATGACAGAGATCCTTCGACTTCCACAATTATCCAAATACCATGTGCCTCAAGGGATTGCGGGATAGTTTGGTATTTCCATGTCTGGGTCATGTAATCGTGCGATACCCTATATTTATATCGGATTGGGCAATTACAGACGGGACAGTTGGCAAAGCCCGTCCTCACTCAGTGGTAGCGGAAGCAAAGGAATCTCCCATCGTCATCCCATGGGGCAGAAATAATTCGATCTTGGAATGGGGGAACAAATCTTCTTATTTCGTGGTCCCAATTAATGAGTAGTCTCTCGTCTGTGTTAACCCAGGCAATAATCGACGCGTTATCGAAGATGACCTCGTACGAAGATAATCCGCGGTCAAAGAGTACCGTCCAGCGCATCTGATTCCTTTGCCTCACAAATGAGACGGTTTTGTCGATGTCTGTAATCTCGGTACCTCCCGGGGCACCAACGTCCCGTCTGGGCGTACTCTGCACGAGAAGCGGGCAAGTACTCTGCCGGTGAAAACAAGGATAATATCCCATTGTTCGTGATGCTTGAGGTTGGGGAGACATGGCCAGAGGCGGCGTATGTCTTCCACGCTCAAGGTACCCACCTTTGGGGGGTCCCCTTTCCGAGCCTGGTTGCCCATCGATACTACGGTCCTTGCAATGGGTGCTTGTCCATATCTCCTTTGGCTTAGCCATGGAGGAAAATCCGAGGGGTCAGGCAGAGTTGGGCAGTTGCGTGCCGGAAGTAAACGCAATAAATCGTAATCTGCTGCACGACACAGCCCGGAGTTGCCCTTTGGGAAGCAAACATTTCCACTCGTAGACTCCAAAAATGCCTGCCAACTCGCGATATGTAGAAGAGATCCGCGACTCCTGACTTGGCCAGGGTCGCATGGGACATACATTCTTTCAATCGAAGCGGCAAACGTTGAATGTCCCTGACATGCCCTATAGAATATTGGTATGGGCATTTCGCTTCCATTGATCTCTTGTAGAGATATTTTATTGTGTGTCCCATAGAGCGCGAATCAGTGCTCCAGCAATCTTGGGGCTGTCTTTGGGGGAAATCCCCAGGACATCAATTGTCCCCGCCGGCAACACAG